AAAAAAAAAAAAAAAAGCTTCATTATAACAGGCAAGGTTCTTTGGGTAAATCCAGTATCTTTTATTAGACCAACTCAAATAGTTGGCAAAAATTCTTCTTGGCAAGCTTTTGGGCACATGACCAATACTGCTATAACCTATACCCCTGAAATGTGAAAGATATTGCATTTTGTCATTATAACAGAGTATTTTCATGCTGCTGGTAGTAGGGTTATCCTAGCATAGCCTTTTAGGTGAATATGAGCCTACCCGCCTGATATTTTTATTTAAGTATATCTTTATAAATATAATTTAGAAAAAAGGGAATTACCTGGATTTGGCAAATAAAATTTACAACTTGGGAGCAACTTGGCTAAACTGCAAAACCAAGGTATTCAAAGTATTCCAGCTAATTCTGCAAAGAACTTAACTTTAAAATAACACAATGCAATATGAAATACTAAACAAAATCAGTTTACACCTAAGTTTAAAGGCTCTCATATTACTTAGGGCCAATTTTATCTTGGGTGCACATAGCCACTGAATAATCACATCAGCAGAAGTTCCTGGCCCTTAAATGAGCAAACACAAAACTGGGTCCTTAGCATTAAAAAAGAACCTCTATGGGGGGTGTGCTAAAGATTGTTGCATACACAAACTCCACTAGTTCACTAGTGAAGGAGTCAGTGCTTATACAAGCTTCCCACTTGCACTTTAGTCAGCATGCTACATGCCATGTTAAAACAATTCAACTATACACATTACATTAACAATTTACAAGACTGCAACTATGTCACCCTCCTTTTTGAATTGAAGTATTAATTAAAGATGCAAATACACCATTTTTTACCATGAATTCCTTTCTTTTTACTGTTTGGCTGACAGCTTAACCATGAAGGGACATACATTTTCTAAGGTTTTTTTTTCCCCCCGTTTTTTGGGGGGTTTTTTAGGAGTCCAAAATGTACCAGAACCATACCACTGAGTTAGAAACTTGTGCTGACTGGCTTTAATAAGAACAGCATTCTACCCAAAAATAATTAAATGCCCCAATGATTAAACATGGGAATAGAAAATAGATCAGCTATACATACACCACAAAACTAGGACAACCACTTCACTGTGTACTAGCATAGCCACTTGCAGTTACTGATTATTTAGATTACAGCTACGAACACGGGACAGCGTTTCATTTAATGCAAACAAAAGAATGACAAGTTTGCACTATCGGGGACAGTGTCTCTCCTCACTTCCTTTCTAAACTGTTGCTGCGCTCTGTGCCCTGCTGAACGACTGCTGAGTCTCACCTCAAAATCTGTAGCAATCCCCAGGAAGCAGCTCTGGGATGAAAGACAGCAAGGAAATGCAAGATACACAAAAAATGCTAGTGACACCAAAACACAGGAACATGTGACTGAAAAGGACTCTCACAGGGTCACCAAGTGCACTGTTTTGCTGTCTGGCAAGTTTAGTTGCCAATCCAAGCACAAAACTTACCAACCTGTACTTAACAGCTAAGCAGGAGGTTTGCCCCTATTAAAAGGCTGGGCCATAATCTCATTCCTTGGATGCTGGAAACCTTCTTCTAATTTCCAACCTAAACTTACATCTGGCCAGTTAATGACAACTTGACTTTAAAGAATAGCGTTGACTCAGTTAAGAAAACCTGGCAAAAACACAGAAATAGATTTTTAAAGAGAAAATGCAGCCACTGATTGATTTGCAAGGAGGTTAAAATGGATTTTTAATCAGGCATTATTTTTAAGTATATTTTGTATAAATAAAAGGATGATAATGCCACTAAGTTGTTTTCAGTTTTCATCTTTTTGTTTTGTTTAAAAATACCAGCAACTCCATGCTGACAACTTCCTAAGCACAGAGAAGTGTGGAAATCCCTAAACTGAAGGTTTAAGTTTATTTTCATAACCCAAGCAGAGACAGGAACAGAGTAACTGGAAGCCCATGCGCAGCTTCCTAGTTCCAGCACAGGGACTGAGGAACTCCACTGTGACTTGTTTTTTAAATGGACAATTTCAGAGCCTATTAGCAAGCACCTGCAACTTTCACTAATTCCAAAAACAGTGAGCATCTCCATTTGTCTCAGTGGCATTAACTGTCAAGACTGACATTTCAAATTTTTTGTCTCAAAACAGGTTGAATTAGCTGCATGTTCTGGTTAGAGCAAGTTCTATTTCTTTGAAGACATCCCACAGGGACAGGTGCTTCACTGGGGGGAGGAGGAAGGAATTACTCCTTCTCAGGGTGCAATTTCTTCCTACCTTACCACACAAATTCCTAGCAACTGTGTTCAACCTCAGTGACCCATCTCCACTCAGCTACACTGCATACTCACTGCTGTTGCACAGCCCAGATCACT